TATATATATACCTAAATACAACAAGATCTAAAAGAAATAATTCGAAAGCACGAATACTAATACTAAATATTTCATTTGTACATTTTCAGTCGACTGAGTGGATCTCAACCACACTTACGCCCCCATCTTCCCATCACCACAGGCACGAACTACACTTCCATCATTATGGTCATCATGTAGCTTGGATCTCACTGTAAGGTGCTGCAAAGGACGACAGATGATAATGATGAGAAAATCACGCGGCCACGTTGTCAACTATTTACCCTCTCGATCTTCTCTTCAACCTGACACAGTCGCGTCATCTGCTACACGTCCCGTAGTTCGTAGGCCGGCATTCTCCTTCCGACTGATGCGGGCGTCTAGCAGCATAAAAGCGTTGGCCTGTCCCGCCAGTGAAGGATAGCCAGCTAGAACAAAAAGATATGTTCTCGCGATGTCACGCCCATCGCCACTGCTGCCGCCACTGCTCGTTCGAGTGGTGCCGCTCTGGGCGATGTGGCTAATCGTGTATTGCTTTTGTATCTGCTATCTTTGTGTTTCCACTGAGGCGTCTCTAGCTCTGACGTCATCGTCGGCGCCGACAATGGTAACGCGTCACGTATCAGAGCAAACGAATCGCCTCAGCCATCGAGGTAGCCTGTCTAACAACGGCTCCCAGTCGTCAGTGGACTCAGCCTCAAGAGAAACGGCGAGCACCAGGCCGGAGATTCTGCCCGTGCCCACCACGATAGCAAAGTATGTCAACAGTCAGAACGATCGATCGCGAAACAGATCAACTTTATCGGCCATAACTAGCAATGATAATTGGCATCGGCCCCAGTGGATGTGGAGTGAGTATTTGGACGATTCTAGGCCTAATCTTGTCGTCGAAGCCATCCTAAATAGAAAAAAGCAGTTTTCTTCGTCGTCGTTGAATGTTGCAACTGCCGATCATGAAAAGGGTATGCACTACTCACATCATCGATCACGCTCTACTAAAAGGCATTACTATGAAAGGGCATCAAGGGACGGGGTCAGAGAGACAGAGGGTAATTTCAAGTAATTGGAGACGATAGTTCTGCTTCACGTACAATTTCGTACATAGGCTTCAACAGTAGGGTTTCGTTTAACCTCGAGAATCTGACGATATTTTAATGGCACTAATAACCTGACGGAAACAACGCCTAGCATTGTATATTCAACGATGAACATAAGTGAAAAGACCCCCCAAAACACAAAGGCCTTAGGTCCTTCTTATCTATCAGTAATATTTTAAGAACCCACCTCGTGAACCAATAAAGAGTACTTAATTGTATACTAGACAGGCAGGGATGTCCAATAGGTTGATATTTTATTACTCGTATCTGAAATGCAGGCCATCGAAATAATCAAGTACGGGGAGTAGCGTTTGGTTCGGCGACTCGTAAACGTACGGACCACCAGCATCGACACAATCGTTTTGACTATGAACATTCAGTAAGGCTAAACCGTTATAACAACCGAAAGGCCACTAGGGAAACCCAAGCTAAAAGAGACGGTAGTACACAACTCCTCGAGAGATCCCGGGACCGGTTTAATAAAGACCCTTTTGTAGTTGAAATCAACAACATTCGAATGGAAGGAAACGCCGAAGTATTCAGCGACCAGTGGGATCAGATCAGCAGCTCTGGCCGTGATAATACTCAAATGAAATCAACGCGCATTGGTGTCACTATGGATACAAATGAGAAGGGTGTAACGAATGATAGCATTCGTAGCAGCGGCAGGAGGTTTGAGGGGACGTTTCGGTGGCATACACCGGAAGACTATCGAGTTCAATCAAATCAGCAACGGCCACAACATCAGCAAGAGGACCATCCATCACAACTGCTGCAGATACAACAGACGCAGGCAGGCGGGGGAGGAGCGTCTAACAGCAAAAAGGGCGTTAAAAAAGGTAAATCGAATGGTACATACGTGCAGTGTCCTAAAATTCGAAGCAATAACAAACAGAATTGTGCTAAGAGACCTGTGTATTGAAAATAACTTGCATAATTGTGATATTTCGGTGGGGTCGCTTGCTACAATATCGTTTTAGAGCGAAAAGCAAAGCTTCATGTTCTTATGTACTATATAAAACATATATATATATATATATATATATATATATGTTCGGGCGTAAGAAAAAGGAATGAGAGATTTAACATGGGTACGCCTGTTTTGTCTTGCTTGTATTTCAGGCCAAGGTAGGTTCCGTTTCTCGTGTTCTTGTTCATAGTAGGGATTGCAGAACAAAGAGTCGAATTTTAACATCTATCAATTGCGAACTATAAAAGTAATATCTAATCAGTAGATTATTCCTGCGGAACATTATTTCTATTTAATAACGGAATCGATAGGCATCGCGAACGAACTCTTCACCACTCACTTGCTATGATAACTGATCCCCTCTGGGCTAAAGGATACCTCCTAATACTAGCAACACATTAAGAAGATAATCTTCTCCGACTTGCTAACTAATATATTGCCGTTCAAACCATTCGTCTATTACTAGCTTAAAATTAAACAAACAACGAGAATGGAGAAGAAACTCTGTCTTATTACCGCACTGAGTGCAGTCGGACACGACGGACGATCTCAAAAACTTCACGTGTACTACAATCGTAGAAATGGAACCCAATGTCAAGTAATAAATATCAGTGATGATATGACGCTCTTCTATAAAACGCATGGACATAAGCACCCGTACGCATAAAGACATACATGTGCACATAGAATCTACGTGCAGTCAGTACAAATTATCAACAATTCGATAATAATAAATTCATTCCTGCTTATGGCAGCATTTTCTAGAGATGCTCTATCTCTTTCTATTTTTGACGTTCGTAGCTTCGATCGTGTTCACGGCAGTAGCAGGGGGCGCAGTGAGCCTCCCATGCAGTCTTGCCCCCGTACCGGACGAAGATAATGAGGTCGCCTTGGTTCTTTGGTATAAAGATGATATTTCCGCCCCGCTGTTCACGGTGGACGCCCGAGGCATCGGCGACCTTCAGTCCGCTCGCCAGAGCTCATTGGACCAGCTGAAAGAAAGGGCAAACTTTATTTTGATTTCGTCCCCATCGCACATATCCGCGTCGACAACGGGCTATAGCAACAGCAACTATCGTAGTATATGGCAAATCAGTCAGGCGTCAACGAAACATAGACCGCCATTGCCAGCGTCTGCTGGCGCGCATCCGGGCACTCCAACTACTGGTTTTGCCGCTCACCTACATGTTCAACCTGTTCGAGAATCCGACGAAGGAGAGTACCGATGCCGGGTAGATTTTAAACGAGCCCGCTCGGTCAATACGGTCGTCAATCTTCGTGTAATTGGTGTGTGTCCATTGCTGACGATAATAATGACGGTCACTATTATTATCATTAATTGCCTATACTAATACATGCAGAACAGGTACACTCGACAAGTCTATATAAATCTTGTTAGCAACGCGTTCAAAATAGTTGTTGGATAGTGCATGCCGATATTTTGTGTCTGGGGGCAATCTACACTTGAATGATGGAGTGAAGGGAGCGAGAATGTCTTCTGCATAATGCTAATTTCATGAAGCGCTCCAGAGCCGTCCCGGGCATTGTTATCCACTTGGCTTGCTGCCAAAAATTTAGAGCACGCGTCACCATGCTGGGATTATAGAGGATTAGGCAAAAGCTTTTTAACAAATCTATACTATATATTGTACCGATATAGAATACAAGCAGTAAAAAAAAAAAAAAAAGATTTGTCTGTAATCATTTTCCTTTTCGTAATAATAGTTTCCTTTTTCCTAATATAGTTTCGTTTTCTTCCGCTCCTGTGGCGGGGCTGCTGGTGGTACCTACGTTTTTAAGTTTACGATTGGTTCGAATGATCATTTATTAAAACGAGAGGTTTCGCAAAGTTCGGTTTTAGATCCATTTATATTCATCCTTTGCATGAGGCATGCCGACCTTCCGCATCGAGTGCCGCGGGAACAGATTTCACGCCATTTATTTTATTCGTGCTCATTCACTCTCATGAGACAAGCTCGCAAAAGGTCTCCTAACGCAGGCGTCTGTGACCTTGACGATAAACTGGTTAACGCTGAATGAAGCTATCAATCATGCCGTTGACCGTTTTTTTTTTAAGGATGCCGACAACGGAATGTGCCCTAAAATGCTTTACCGATATACCAACTCAACAGAAACCCCAATCAATTTAATGGGAGAGTCCTTTAATTAGGTCTACTTGCACGGCGCCTTGGTTGGACTTTAGAACAAAGACTAAACTGGGCTAACCGTTTCCTTGTGTTGCGTGTAAAATTTCTGCTATAATTGCTATACTAACTAGCCTTTCTACCAAATTTTAACCCAACATAGATTTTTGTCATTTCATAGTTGCACCATTGTCCTCGTACGCTATTGTGGCTTATGGCAAGACATCAGCGATCCACAATGTGTTGAGTTCAATCAAACGATCGCAGAAACTACTAGAAATGAATTACCCTATTACTTTTTACCACCCTACAGTTTTATGAACCACAAAGTTGCCGAGATTTACTAAGCATCGTTTGTAGTAACTTGGCGTCCACGCTCATCTTGTTCCTATTACGCATTAGTCGATCCCAGCCTTTCAAGCTGATACTGCGTTGAGGCTGATATTTTTGAAGAACATTTGAATAATTTTTTAGTAATATATATATATATATATAATGTATGTGCTTGAATTGAGTTCAACCATGTTAGATAGGGACTGCTGACAAAGTACGCTCGAATCTAATTTATTCCCACATTTTGCGTCTGACAAATTGTTAATTGACGCAGTGCCTCCCGGTGATCCAGTTATTGAGACGCGGTCCGGCGTCATCCTTCGGGAAGGCCTTGCGGGACCGTTTAATGACGGCGACCCATTGACGCTTCATTGTTATACTGGTGATGTGGGTCGGCCCCGCGCAAACCTCGTGTGGGTAGCCCATGACGGGCGGGTAATTGATGACACGTTCTCGTACGAGCATATCGACACGCACCATCATCAAACCGTCGTTGTGCGTAACACACTTGAGATTAACGCCTTGAACCGGGACCATCTGCTAACGACTCTAGCATGCCAAGCGTCCAATAACAATATTACGGCACCGTCACAAACCTCAATTACGCTTGACCTTAACTGTGAGTGGTAATTAGATGCTATGCGAAGAAAAATAGGACGTTAGATATAATTTAAACGAATGCCACCTCTGAGCGTAGTGCTGAAAACTAGATAAAAAAAAAAAAAAAAAAGTAATGTGTTGAAATAAGAACAGATTACTTATAAATAAGCATCGTTATACACGCACTGTTGACTCGAATATTATCTACTTATTATATTTACACATTTACTTCATTAATCACTTGTGTTGATTACGTCTAGTACCGGATTGAAAAAATAATAGCATGTTACCCTGTTGCTAATTTCAGTAAAACCTTTGTATATAAATGTTGAACCTTCTTCGACACAACCACTATCAGCCGGTGCCCCGATTGAGTTCGTATGCTATTCAAGCGGCTCTCGACCACCTGCAGTACTGACATGGTGGAAAGGCGATCAGCAGGTCCAGGCCACCAAAGAGGACTTTTCCAGTGGTAAACAGATGAACGCAACATCTGTCATGCTCCGGAACGTCAAGTACCCTTAATAATCGAGCAAACATTTTGGAAAAAAAAAGCCACAGCATTAATATTCTAATGAAATATAAGAGATGACTATTTCATCTGTGTTATTTTTTTCCTCTCTGTTCAGGCGGGTCAAGTTCAAGTACATCGGTATTGACCTTCACACCCGAGCCGGAAGATGATGGTGCCATTTTGGCTTGCCGGGCTGAAAATCCCGCAATGAACAGCAACGAGGGTGAGCGATTCGGTGGCGGCGAACGTCTTAATAACCGACGCACTACGGCTGCCTTGGAGTATAGCCGAACGCTCGACGTACACTGTGAGTATCATAAAAATAAACATAAAGCATGCTGTCTTCAAAAAATATTCCGAATTTACTAGAGTGGCTATATAGGCCATGTCTGTTCATGGCGTAACCATTTTTATTGAGAAATTTTGTATACTTCGCTACTTTGTAAAAAGTAGCATATGCTAATAAATATAAAAGTCATAGCAGAGTAAAGTTAGCAACTTGTACACTGCTACAACTAGCTAATGATAAGTATATAAATAAGCAATAGCGCTTTATTACCATCATGACATCATAAACTTTAAGATAGCTAGGGCAAAAGTTAAGAATCACAAAGTTGTACTCTTTACTAATTTTCGACCGAATCGAAAACATGAACATCTTCGATCATCATCATTTAGTTCGGCGAGTTCTCAAGTTGCCAATAGCCCAGTGGCTGTTACCTTCTTAAGTTAGAAACTCGATAATTTTAATAGGAATAGGATTATGTAATTCAACTCAGTAGATCAGTAGGCCCAGCCTCGGGGCCTATGTTGGTTACAGGCTGCTCGGTGATACTTCTTCCTCATCGCAACCTATCCTGTTTGTTTATTTGTCGGGTGTCTTCGACGACAGATGCACCAAAATTAAAATTGGTCCTTGGTGGTGGCGTACGCTCGGGAGACATTCGAGAGGGTCGCGACGTCTACCTTGAGTGTGAAATTACGGCGAAACCAGCCGCACACGAAATCGTCTGGTATTTCGAGGGCACCACGGAGCTGCATACAGATAAAGACAAAGGTACGTCATGGAACTATAGACTTCACCGGTGTACGGATCCCATAGGCATGTTATTTGTTACTCAGCCAACCGTTTTCGAAGCCGTGAGACCTGTCAGAGTTGCCTGTTGGCAAATGGCACCATGCAAGTCATCTCAGGGCCAAGTTTATATCATTGGTATTTGCAGGAATCATCGTCAGCGGTTCGTCTTTGGTGCTGCAGGCTGTCTCTAGATCTCAGCGAGGATGGTATACGTGTTCGGCTTCGAACCGCGAAGGAACCACAAGAAGCAATCGGCTTTTTCTTCGAGTGAAATGTTAGTGTACCATAGAGTCGTCGTATTACGGGTAGAGTAGAAACTATTGATCAAGATCTTTTCGAGCCCGAACGTAGCCCAGGAACAATGGTGTAAAGTTAGTTCATTTCGCGACTAATTTATTACTAGTTAGTTTATTTTTTATAATTACATCTGGCTAAAAGGTTCCCGTATGCCTTCCAAATCCGTAATAAACGCAACGATATTAAGCATGCAATGAGTCAATCGGAAGAAAGATACAATTGACGGGCACGAACAGAAACATAGGTATAACTAAGTTATATAGCTAACCAAGTAGAAAGCCTTGGTATGTCATGTTAGAGGTCCGGCGAAGAAAAGGGCTAACTATCATAATGAAAAAAGAATGCTATTGATGCCGGAGAAATAAACATGCGTGACTGCAAGGCCATGCGTGCGCATCCTATAGCATCTTCGGTAGCAGTGTCCTAAGGGCCTTAACAAACGAAAGCTGTGAAACAGCCTTGGCTCCTTGGTCCAAATAAAAAATAGATATATGTAAATACGCCTTTATATCAACGTTCATGTATCTACACCAATACGCCTTCAATAGCGTATTAATTGAAATTTATTATTAACAGAAATTGAAATGCTCACAAGTCCGGAAAGATCATTTATCTACCAAACAAACGATCTTCATAGCGACATTACTGTCACATACTGTTGAGATCAAGAGGCGATCATTTTGAAGGTTGAGAGCCAGCACGTCTTTCTGCAATTCTGCTTCCGAACTCACCGCCTTCCTTCATAATGTCCCCTCTTGGATAACTAATCGGCATAGCAAATGCTCACAAACTCACTCCAGCCAGAAGGCTGAGCGTTGCATGTGTCCAGCGACCTGATTAAGTGTGTTTACTTGAAGTAGATTTATTTAGAATGGGGGCTTCAGTTCAAAATGCCTCTCTATTTTTTCAAAGCAACAGAAAGGTCATTATTAGATCTAGCCGTCGACGTGTGTTACTATGGGAAAGCTGCTGTCTAGCCAAGACTGTAATGTGTCAGGCTCGGAACAGCATGCAATCGTCCTATAGGTTTGCCCTGTTGCTGCTCGTGCTCCTTACGAAACTTCGAAAGAGGAGAGAGGCTTGGTTGTTGATAGCCAAAACACCGATCTGCACCAAGCTTAATGCAAGAGAGTTGTTTTTTACTGGAAGGTAATGGCGAAGAGAGCTGAAAATAAGACGGCATAGCAATGTCGCGCAATAACGCTACACATGCAGACATAACTAGTTCGCATAGTTAGCCTAGCAGAAGACCCTAATATACCGTTATATCCCATCAACTTACAGTACCCTCGTTAACGTCTTATCAGTGGATAGGATTTATCTGTGTCTAGCAAGCGTCGAAACGACGCTAGTGACGCTCCATTAGGAGTTATTTCAGCAAGGAAAACAACTGATAGGAATAATGAGCCGTAAGTGATTCATCGATGGATCGACGATAGGTTCTTATAGCTTTGCGGCTTTTTCGGTACGTTCCGCTGATGGCTACCGCCATTATATTATATTTCGAAGAAATTATAATTGGTCTGATACTGTAATCCACCTGTTTGAGCCGCTGAAAGAGATCGACGTGGCGTCCTTGTTCGGCTTCCTGTGGGTCGCGTCTGATTGCTCCAGGAGACGCTTTCGACAAATTGATTGATCAAATAAATGTGTTCCGGAGCTGATCTCTTGTGTGTGCGAGCACGAAGTAACATTGCCCTGCCAGACTGCCACCATGTCGAGTCATTTCCGGTTCCGGTTAGACTCGCTAAAGACGACAATGTTATTATCATATTTAGGTTTCTGTTCGGTTTCAAACATCTTAGATCCACAATACTTTTTGTAAGTATCGCAACAGCGCCTTGATCTTGTCAAAAGCAGATTTGCTATGGGAAGCTGACGGAATAAACCATTCCTTCAGCGTCCATTTAGAGGAAGAATTTGGCTTGGACGATCACTTGTACAGTCATTAATACCTAGACCTGTAGCATGATGGTGTCCCTGGTAATACCCACAGTAATAAAAACTTCTCGACGGCCACGTGCGAATTTGTCTTCTTCCCGTGAAACGCCTGCCTTCTTTTGTTGTTACCATTATGTTATAGAGTCCTGTTGTGTTTGTAGGCGTTCAGGAAATACGACATGATCGCAGATCTAACGGGACCAGCGCGAAACTGCATGGGCCCGGTATCCAAGTACGAATTGGTAACAGGTCGTTTCACGCTTTCTCTTATGTTGATTGACAAGCCGGCTATAAAGGTAACATTATTGGGTTTTTGGTCTTACTTGCGTGTACTTTTCGCCTGCTTATGATATCAATGTTTGCTCCATGCGATACAGATGCCCCCCGATGCCGATCGCAGCAACGTCGCGTCTACGGGGTGGATTTATACGAGAGCGCTCGAATTCGGTGCGATGTCGAGGCTGACCCCGAAGAGAACACCCACTTTAGATGGACTTTCAACAATTCGATGGGCAAACGCGCCGAGCTCGACTCACAACCGACCACGGCTTCGCATCGAACGTCAAGGTATCAATTGAATCCCAAAGAGGCCACATTTTATATTTGCTTTTTTGCTTATCCTTATGAGATTTTTTTGTATAAGTTTTTTAGGCTATTGCCTGTTTAGTAGTAGAAAAAAATGGTTGAAATTGAAAGGCTTTTTATTAGTGCGATCAACTAAAAACTTCTATTTTGCAAGAAACATACTGTCTTAGGATATTAGAAGGAACATTTAAAGGTTTTTTTTTCATCAGCTTCAAGATGACAAGTAGACATGAACGGCAAGTAAACTATATCTCGATGTGTCGGCGACAGTGGCTTAGCAGCAGTCTTTAATTGTCTACATGGCACAGGCGTTGTCCAACCCTTGATTTGTGCACCATTTGACACATAATGACATGTTCTTGTTTCAAACGACCTTTGGCAAAGTAAATTTGCCACTTAAAGGTTCAATATGTCGTTGGTTTCGAACCTCCTCTTTTAATTTTCGTTAGTATACGTCCTAATTTATTTTTCAATTTCAACAAGATTTTCATTTTCGCTGTAGTAACTAAGCTCGGTTTTTAAGCTACCACGCATACGATCTGCCTAATGAAACACCTCTTCAGCGCTTATCGATCAGTTTATAACTCGCTCAATTAATTCCTAACGAGCAGCGTACGTTTATGCACTTACTGAATGACTAGCGTAATCAGAACCTATGCTTGCTTCGATGACGGCCGCAGGTCCATGATCAACTATAAGCCTCTGACGGAACAAGACTACGGAGAGCTGTTGTGCTTCGGAGGAAACGAGGTCGGCGAACAAGTGGAGCCGTGTATCATTCACATTGTCGCCACTGCCACGCCGGATCCCCTTGAGAACTGCTCTCAGGTCCGAATTCTTAACGTGCACAAACACAGATGTATATGTACAGGCAATATGTAGAACGGCCCCCAAATAGTGGAAATTGTTCGGCGTAACCATAAACTAATGGCTAAAATTTAGCTAGAAGCAGAGCTGTATCTACGGTGTATCTGTACTCTGGCGATAAACAGATGGCCACAATGATAGAAAAAAAAATAGCAAAAAAAAAAAAAAAACTATCGGTACGACGGAAAACAGAGTCGTTTCCCACATTACAGTGAATGTACATTTACAATTAACAAGTGCTATTATTATTACTATCACTAGTACTATGATTATCATTGTGGTACATAATTGTCAGCGATAAAGTAAGTACACGTCTTACTTTCGGCGTTCAGGTAAACGCGACGGAGAATAGTCTGACGGTCGAGTGCTTCGAAGGTGCGTGGAACGGCGGCGGAAATGAATTATCCGCACTGTCTTTCGTGGCCGAACTCTACCGAAGCGACGAAAATGACTTAAAGAACGGTGTAGCTTTCGGCCCAATGATTGCTAATGTCACGGTGAAAGGAAGTACCACGTCTGCGTCGACGGGATTACCATCGGTTCCAGTATTCGTGTTTAACGATTTGCCTCGAATCGATGATCACACGTCTATAGCTAGTGGACGTAACGACGTTGGCTATCGAGTACACATTTACGCGCGGAATCACAAGGGTCGAAGCCCGGTTACAACACTTATAGTTCATCTACTAAACCCATCCAAGTACCAAACAAAACGTGAGTATATAGTTCATGATAGCTTTTACTAGTTTGACTGTATTAATTAGTATGAGGCATTTCGCGAACCGTAACCACAGCTGATAGCTTGCAGACTTGCATGTTCTCGTGTTCTACTAGCAGAGCGATGCTTGTCCTAGAAATGTTTCCGCAACAATGAAATCAAACGGTAGAAGACGAGGCTGCATGTCTCAGGTGATTATCAGTGAAAAGGTTTCAATCCCAGCCCCAAACCGAAGACATACGGTTTGATTGTCAAATTGTTGGTAGTTTCTATTTATGTATCGCAGTAACGAAGGTCGCTAGCCATCGTGAGCATATTCTAGAATAGCTCTTTAGGTGCAGTGGAGATTTTTTGAACTCTGTAGTAGTCGGGACTTTACTACATCTGGAAACCGTTTTCCCCAATTCTGCAAAGCTCGACTGCAGCCGGCGTTTCTCACTAATGTGGAACTCGTTGATTAGGTAGAAAGGAGAATCGCATTTTTGGCGAACTGGCGCAACGTATTCGTTATTGATGTTGTTACAGAGTCAGCTCGATTAGGTGTTGGCTGGATAGTCAGGCCACTGCTTGGCCTTGTTCTTGTCCTGCTCATTCTGATCACGTTGGGAGGGGTCATATTGTTCGCGGTTCTAAAATACAGCAAATATAAACAACGACATCACGTTCACAATGACGAGCACAAACAAACGCACTCTGAAGACAAAGGTAACAAATCTGAGCAAGCAACATTCTATAACGAAGTAGATAAATTTTTTAAAAAATTTTATTCGTTTTTAGAACTCATTACCTTGCTAGATAATCTGCCCCTTTTCTCATCGCCCTTATTATATTTTATCGTAGTCAATATTTTGTTAATCTTATTCCTTCCATTATATCTATATACTCAATCTAACAAGATAGGGAAAGGACAGATGAGTTAGTCAGCATATCTTATCGTAAAATATACCATAAATTATGTTGCAATCTCCTAATAGTAATAATACACCGTAATATCCTGAAAAGGCTGGCGTAATGTGCCAAACAACAGGACGCATACTTCTACCCTCAAACGCTATGTGAGTACTAAACAGGACAATCTCATCATGCATCTATGATGTCCACTATTAAATGTTTGTTGCTAATTGTAAACTCGTAAAACTTCGATAACGTCAGCTTGGACCAACTCATTCGTAAGTTGTAACGATTGATTCTTTTTTCTAGCTGACACCTTTTTTTTTTGGTACAACTAACTACATTTACATGCGAGCACATACGTATGCATAGTATTATTCCGCTACCGCGCTTAATTATAAGTTCCACCATTCACCTCATTGAGACTCTATCGTAAATTATTCCCAGTACAACGAGAGCTACATCGTTTTTTGGAACTGACCGTCCTAATGGGCCTTCTTCATGACCTGTCAGTGGCCCACTTCGATGGCGTGAGCATCGTCACCGAACGTCGGTTGACCGCTCAACTTTATAGCTCTTTGTCTCATACCCCCATCTGTCCTAGCCATTTATTGGCCTTCTGGATATCTGTAGATTTTAAATGTCCAATGGGCACAGGGTTGACCGCTTGCTATTACTGTCTGCCAATTGAAGCACACGGGAGAGGCTATAATCATTATACTAGCTTCAGATTATACTGATATATATTATCTTATTGATAGATGATAGATAATCTTATTCGGTATGAGGACTAATCTGTTTATTTATAAATACTAGTAAATAATTTGTAGCGTCTATTAAGCACATGATTAGTACGAATCGCTAATTTCGAAATTCTGCTTTGCCTTGCCTTCTTTGTTGTCAATTTGTTTGTCATAAATGACAGCACCCGCATCGGAGACGCACAGCACGAGAAGCAAGTGAGTCCTTAAAAATTGGCATTGCCATGACGGGAGTGTTCACTGTTCGCAACGATATAGCCATACAAAGTATTTGAAAACTAAAAAATAAAATGGCGATATAAAGGGGATATAAATGGAAGAGGGGATATAAAGGTGGGTAGATTGAACATGTTCGAAATAACAGATAACAGTGCTAATGTGTTGAAACCAGTGGAAGACGATGGGAAAAGTGACACATAAAAATGACTGTTTTTTTTCTGGCTTGAATTGATTTAGTATAAGATAAAATTCTTACGACCAGAGAATAACATAAAATCGTAACCAAACCCATGAGATAATAATTCACGGCAGTTTAAGCTACTATCAATCAACAATTAACTAGTATCAGCATTATGCTTATTTTCTTTGCGTTTTCATTGCAAACTTTGCTTATACGAGTTTTCATCACTGGGAATTGGATTATGAATCTTGTTTGAGTAGCGGTTTCCACCACTTTTGTTTGTCCACCACTTGTAACTTTGCAATCGAAAACGTGTTCGTTCATAAGATCTTTTAAAATGAATCACGCGAAAACTTATTTCACTAATCTGTTTGGCCATCATAGGACAAATGTAAGCACTATAAGATATCACATAAAAAAAACAATGAAGAAAAAAGCAATAAAAACGCTCACACTTTATCCTCGCCCCCCATCCTGTACACAGAATAAATATACTGCTTGATATATAATTATCACACATGTCGTCATCTTTGCATCACTTGCTCCATTACCTTGACCATGCATTTTCCGTCGTCAAGATCCGCTCTGTCAGTGCTCGAGGCCGAGACGACCGATGCTGACCAATGCAAGGATTCTACCGAAGTCATAGTTCCACTGTCCGATGTTAGCGATAACGGAAGTAATAACCGTTGTGACAGCGTTGTACTCCGGACGCATTCGAATCTTGTCGGAACAGCTGAGAGTGCAGACGACATCGTTACGGCCGACTCTGTACTTATCCAACCCGATATTATTCAACGTCAGCAGATGCCACCGCCACTATCAACTACGCCGGGACTGGATTCACAGCAGTGCGGAATTTTCGGCATTATGTCAACCCTTTCGGTGACAAGAACATCAACCGACAAAATCACCAGATCCGATTCTCAAGTACTATCAGGAGACATCTATCGGCATCGGCTAGCTAATGGAAAGAGTAAGAAGGCTGGCAGTGGATCGAATCTCAGTCACGCCCTGACAACCGTAACCGAGTTACGGGAAGACGACCGATTAACGGTACCATTTGGTCATAATTTGTTTTCTGTGAATATTTCCATCTTTGTTATGCTGGGCAGGAAAGTCTTGCAAAGATATCAGGTCGCCAAAATTTTCAATGATAGAGTCCTGTAAAAAGTTGCAGTAGTGCTCATAACAGTGAACTATGGTATGTGCAGGATTTTCGCGCGTACTTCTAGTTTATTTTGCATGATTTTTTGAATTTCAAGTTATCCTGTTTTACTAAGTAACACATTTTCCATACAGGCGCCCCACCAAGCAGCCCAGCTCGGGGTCTACGCTACGCTCCATTTATATTCCTCTCAGCCCGGCTTCGGCGTCAACGATTTAGGCAATTGCGGCAGTCTCAACATGGACTGTCCTATCGTCCAACCGACGAATCTACGGGTATCTCCGCTTTGCCAACAAGCGCATAACAGCTCATCCGTCAGCAATATCGTTGAACATCAGCGTTCACCAGTAGCTACCCCGATAGTTACTCAAAGCGGCGATTCCCTTTGGACCCAGCCGAACGAACCCTTCATTCCCAGCGTAAAATCCCCTTCGATTATCGGATCTAACCTGTCGTCAAATCTGTTACATAACGACCCGAGTTTGATCGCTATAACAACGGATATCGTCGGCACCGATTTTGACGACGGCGGCTTTATCGTTATCGGCAGTAAAAATTCAGCGACCGGTCGAACGGCTCAGGAGCGTTGGAAACAGCAAGAACCCTCCGGGCACACAGAACTTTTACCCCCGCAGTCCAGAGTTTCACCATTGTTACCAAATAATTATACATCGGGACAATTTAAATTCACTGGAGTAACATCGGATTCACTTGATGGTTTAAATGCGGGCTGTGGCGATCACGCGCCAAATGAAACTATCGTGTTCTCACAAAAATTTCATTTCCGTAGACAACTGCCGTTAACGGAAGGCGGTATTACTACACAGCTGCACCATGATGCCCGTCAACAGCAGAAACCCAACGGTAATTCTGTTGAGAGCACTGTATAACACTGGGACAGCAAAACGAAACGCTGCATTGATCGTCTTTGTCGAGCTAACTTAAGAGCGTTTAGTGAAGCCTGACGTAGACACACTTCGTTTCGTGCTGAAGATAATTGCCAGCTGTCGGAAGCGGCAATGGTTGGTGAAAACAGCACCAAACGTAAAAATTCACACCTTTAAAACGGTATACGCGCGATACCTGTTTGAGCGGATATAACGGATGTGGTGTGAGTTGACGAAACGAGAAGCGGCGGTATCGGATTTGGATACTTGGAAGTACCTAGAGAAAGGAATCACAGTGAACTCATGCGGACGACAGGTAACGTAAACCTTAAACATAACAGGCCCATAACGAAAGAATCATACCGAACGGCCAAGTGTGGAGTTCGTATCAGAAGAGGATTCGAAACGCGACCAGCGATCTCCATGTTGAGAAAGGTTTTGCTGTTATTTTCTATTGGAAATTGAGGTGTAGGATGCGATCGACAAAATACGAATGTGTATCTGTGCGGGTGTAAGGGCTACGAACGGCTGCACTTTTGTTGTATAGACAATTATTATATTAAGTAGTAAGCGGCGTAATTGGCACCGTTTAACTTTATCGAATGAGCATATCTAGAGGGAATAAAAGACCCTAATGGCTGACGATTTTTTTTCTCCAAGTGCAACGAAAACAGGATCTTAGTTTCCTAAATAATTGAATAGGATTTGTTCAGTATTTAACTTGTTATGACAAAGCGAATGATGCTCGTTTTTACCGTGAACAACAAGATATGTTTATACAAATACTGAAATTGTTTTTAAGAAGAACATGTAATCAGCATACCAACATTGTCGAAGGACATACCCTCTTAGCTAGCCGTTTCATCGAAATGCTTCGTTCAAAACAGTGGTTTAATCTATTGTTGTTAGCTTAGTTTACAATGGTATATATACATAAGTATAAATCGTAGTAGAGGAAAGTATGTAATGAGCAAGTTGTAATATAAATAAAACAAAAAAAAACACTGCGGAAATATTCAAATATATCAAACAGACGCAGGGCAAAAGACTAAGAAGGTCACCCAATTAACGTAAACCTGAATCGGCTGATCAGCGTCAACTCAAAAATAAAGCAAGGTTCTATTCAGCCGAAAAACAAAATCGCTCGCGATGCATCTTCATTACAAAGTATGGGATCCAAGCGAGCGTTGTAGATCATCTACCTGCAGATATACGTTGTCGCAGGTAAATATGGCTCGCGAATACGTTGAAAGTATATGTAATAGTTACAAGATCGATAATGCTCCTATTCGGGGTCGGCTGTGAGTAGATGCGGACGTACTAATTGGCTTAGCCGTTCTCTTATACGGAATGAAAACTGTATAAATTAGGCTAGATAAATCTCGTCGGTGTGAGTACGGAACAGAAGCAGGAGTAAAGAAAATTATTGACGAAGTATGAATAATACCATGTAAATGATGTATTTTAAGACTTATTTGTATGAAATAGAATAATCCAAAAATGAACGAGAAAAGAATGCAACTAAACTATATAAAAGCGAAGGAAAGCAAAAGGTCAATAATTGTGGAAAATAGTACGCTATAGATCAGAAGCAAAAAGACACAAAGCAACAAAAGTGGAAGCATATGGAACTATAAGAGGTAAAGATTGTAAAACAAATATCGTCAGATTGAAAATAAATTATATTCGAAATTTCGACAAAAACAAACGGCAACGCCAAAAGCTAGACATATTTTTCGTCTCCTCAGTCACTATGAGAGGTCATAATTTAATTTTGGAAATTGCGTAGAGTCGAGCCACACGTTTGGGTCGGGACCGATTCTACTTCGTGTGAACAGAAAGCGCTTACCCAGCTTAAATTTGCTTAATAAAAAATTAAAATAGCAACTTAAGTAGTTCTGGCATATGCTTTATTTAGTATAAACTTATTCTACAGTGGACTTGAATAATTGTTTACATTCACAACAGCGATAGATAGGATCAGTCTGATCCACCAACATCACATTCTATCGGTGGTAACCGCTGTTAGTTACAATTGTTTATATCTACCAGCTGATACACAAAAACTTGAACAAGTTGTATATCAGCTGGTAGTCATGATTTGTCATGAACGGATGAATGGCAAGTCTTACTATAAAACATTATTCTTGTGTAAGCGGAACAGCCTCATCGTGTAAGTTGCTCTCTCAGATTTAGTAAGTTTCTTTTATCGTACTTTTCAGTG